GGGCTGATGTCACTGTTGCAAAGTATCTACTCACTTGGTTTGACCAAGCCAAGTCACATAGAAGTAAAAGAAGGAAAGGGAGGGGTGGAATGAAGACAGCATCTTTGCTCCCAAGAAACTAAAAGTCTAGACGATTTAGCTGCTCTCTCAGTGGTGAATTACTATGTTTTACCTTCACATTGCTCAGAGAAAGAGACATCAATTTCCTAAGGCCTGGCAGTTGGCAAGGCAACATTGTGATGAACGCACAAACAGGGATGCTCCACGAATCCTAATAACGCCAGCTGACCAATGACGTGGCCAGGGCAAGACATGGGAGGCATTAGCATATGGTGAGACAATTATAATTGGCATTATATTACAAACTTGGCACAAATATAAACAGCATAAAAATGAATGGGGTCATAATTTGTGGAATCAAGCTTAAAATGTCAATTTACCTGGCCAAACAGACAGCATCTCATATCTATCCATCTTGCCTCACGCTGATTGGGTTAACAGTGCTAACCTACTTGTATCTTTCTTCTGCTTCCAGCTAACATGGCGCTAGAGCTAATCCCTGCTCTGGCAGCCAGTATGAACACAGCTCAACATAATGAAGCCCATTAGTCTGGAGACAATGGCTGCTAGCAAAGCTCAAACACTGAATGACACAGGATGAAAGCAAAAAAAGAGGGGTGAAAACGCTCATCTTTTATTGTGCGCCTTCAGTTGCCATGACTTGATAGTGCTCTCATTTGAGAGAACACACTCTGTCGCACGCAACAAAAAAACATATGCTGAATGAGCAAACACAATTAACTGTAAGAAGTAGCAATTTAGAGAAGGGGAGTGAGGGCAAGTAGACAGAAGGGGGAGAACAGAGGAAGAGAATTGAAAAATAGGGGAAAGAAAGGGGGGACAGCACAGCAGCAGCAAAAGAGAACGAATGAAATAAGGATGGGAGAAAAAGAGCAAGAATAAAGGCAGTGTAATTAGAGAAGTGAAAAGAGAAGGAAAGAAAAAGGCAGAAAGAGGAACATTGAGTATAGGTTAAGAAACACACATGGATCTGATAAACATATGGAAAGGGAAAAACTGTGACTTCAACTAAATGTGATTAATGACAGCAATAAATTACCAGCAAGTCTAGATCAAACCATGTTTATTGTCTTGGTATCCAAACCTGCCCTCCGAATAGGCGCCAGCTAAATGCTTTAAATGAAAATGTCATAGGATGCTTGATGAAGGGCAATGCTGTTAATGTTTTCAAGATTTGTATGCTTATATTGAGAGGAGGTCAAACAAGGTCAGTAAAAGCAGACTGGCAAGAATGAGCCGGCATCGGGATGAAACACAACAAATCATCCAACCTGGGCATACAAGCCACTAATATACCCTATTGCTTATTATAATCTCTTGATACACTGGCATATGATTGGTGTGTCCGTCTCTGTGTGAACGTCTCTGTGTGCGAGTGTGTGTGTGATGTGAACATTTAAACGGAAATATCCCTACCAAGCCGTTTAAGCCTTTACAGGGACACTGATATCAGTGTGTGTGTGGATGTGTGTGTGAACATGTAATCTCTTGCAGAATTAATTCCTGGAAATTGAAATGAAAATGGGAAAGGAAGTGTGTAGTCGCGGGTCATTTACTTCAAGGTCACCAACGTAGAGTTTGGGGTTTCTGTGTGTGTTAAGTATGGTGGCCGAGAAAAATCTGTTTAAAATAACATTGTGCCAGGGCGGTCACTGGTATGCAATCATCCACTGGGACATTACCGGATACTTGGAGGACACCCTCACACACATGTATGCAAACTCTTTGTGAAATCTCTCAAAGCACAAAACAAGCCAAAACAAATAATGTCTCAAATAATGAAAAAATAACTTTCACATGCACACAAACATATGTAGTTTTCCCAAGGGCCCATAATGTCAATGTTTGATCCTGGCAATGGCAGTCAATGACATTATCATTAGATCTATCATTCGACAGTACACTCTGCTTGTCATTGCTGCTATACCATACTGCAGGCCATTCACCCAAATGGAACTAGTGACACGCACACATGCAAATAGACACAGGCTGCTGACCTACATGTGAATGGCCGTAGCCCAGATTCACTAGCACTGACCTCAGGGGATGGGTTCTGTAATGTCCCCTCGAACATGCTAGCTGACTGGCGAACAACCCGCACCAAAGTAGGTCTTGCAATACCCCCAAACTACATCCAGTGCCCTGCTGGTCTGATGTAGGGGGAGGCACCATTGAGCCTCAGGTGAAGCAGGGAGGTCAGGGGTCACACAGCAGGGGCATGTAGCTGGCATAAAAGCGTGAAGGTCCCACATATATGACAGCTCATGAAGTCAGCATCTGGAAGCAAGTCCTAAAGGTAAAGCCTGACAACATTCATTCATACAAGATAGTGTATGAATACACTGGCATAATGTGAATGTTGTGCCAGGCTTAAAATTTCATTATTGGTCAAAACTAGCTAATTATATTAAGATTGGATTCAGAAACACCCTTAAAGAAACTGCCACCAGCTTGGCAGAAGGCTTTTCTGGTTCACCTCTTTGACAGTTTCAGTAATAGCCACACACACACACACACACCACACACACACACACACACACACACACACACACACACACACACACACACACACCACACACACACACACACACACACACACACACACACACACACACACACACACACACACACACACACACACACACACACACACACACACACACACACACACACACACACACACACACACACACACACACACACACACACACACACACACACACACACACACACACACACACACACACACACACACACACACACACACACACACACCCCGCTGTGATCACAGAGTTTGGCTGAGCATCAAGCAATGTTGGCCATGGCGGGCCAGGATCAAACTATAAAGTAAGGGGTTGACCATTGTTGGTCAGTGGAGCATTACAGAGTTTGGCAGGCCATGACCTACGCTCCATCAGTAGGGAGGAGGCCAGCGTCCACTGACAGAGAAAAATAAAGTGAGAATAGAAAAGACAGGAAGGAGAGCAATAGACAGGATGAGGGCCAATAGGAGGGCACTGTCCTGGCAGCGTTGGTCATGTGACAGGTCAGTGAATAATTTTGGTTAGATAGTAGTCTGGGATGTACTGTGCTGGGTCACTAGCTCTTCAAATGGTGGCACAACACACCTACAGACAGCTCAGTCACCATCTGACACCCAATCAAAGCCAGCAGCGCCAAAACGCACACTGTACAACATTAGATGTGTTCACTCAATAGTTACAAAGAGAATCACAAGCCCTCATTTGCAGTTGGCTTCACTGACAACAGATCAATGACATTGGGATGTTTGGAGCAGCACATTTACCACAGATCCTGCAATTGTAATATAACCTGCCTCCCCCACTCCTGTTCAAGTACATGGCTGCATTATCTATTGTGTTGTGACTTGCTTGGAGAATGCAGTGAGGAGGATGCAGTATTGCAGCACACCACTGATATCAGCCGTCACATGGCCGCAGTGCTAGGGAATCCCTGTGGAAAGGAAAAGGAAATAGCCTCTCTTTTTCAACAAAGGAAAACCCCCCTATGCTCCTGTGGCTGCTACCACACTGTTACATGTGCTTCATTGAAGCCCATTCGTATTCAACTGCAGTGAAGTCAAGGAGAAAGTGTGTGTGTATGTATGTATGTGTATAATATAGGAGTTGGCTCTATACTCCTGCGCCGGTAGGAATAACGTACTGCGCTACAGGCAGAGTGACCTTTTCTAGCTGGCGTGCTTTCTCTCCTCCCTCTCTCTCTCTTTCACACGCTTTCTCTCTAGCTCACACACATACAAACACACACCTAGCAACACTGCCACAGCTAGCCTCACCAACCATCAAGTATCCACACTGCTTCCTGGTTAAATGGACATAAGACCTGTACAAATCATGGGAGATAGAGGGGCAATGGGACAGTAGGGAGATTTTGTTTTGCCTCTTCTACTGCGGCAGGAAGGTAAAGCATGTCTTGTTTTCTTCCGCTCGCCTTCCTCTACGTGACCTTTAAGGTTGTGTGCTTCCTGAAGCGACAGTTTGTGCTCAAATTGAGGGTTAAGGCCTGCCTGTTTAGAGTGCTCTAACTACCTGCAAAGGCATACACGAGGTAAAGGGGTGGAGAGTGAAAACACAGGAAAAAAGTGTAGTAACAGCGCATACTGCTCTGTTTTTTTATTTGATATTGTATACTGCACTTGCTGCCTGTCATTGGTCGAGCCTGTCACTCACTCCCTCATATTGAATTAATAAAGTAACCTAATTAAATTCTTACAAACTTTTTAGTTCCAATGGACTGAGGAGAAAGATCAGTATGGATATGGCTTACATTGCATTTAATGTCCTTACGACTTGTAGGAGAATGTTTATAAAGGGATAGCCAGCAGGAGTCGAAGTAGAGTCACACAATGACGGCCGAAGAGTGAGCAGTGAGAAGGAAAGACAGCCAGGACGCTGGAGTGGGTGGGGGGAGTTAATGCACAAAACACACTGCATCAAACCAAAGCACTGCTCCGAGCAGGATGCGTCAGCAGTCCATTCATGTTCCTCTTGTTTGTTTTACATTAGAGGACATAACGAAGAGAATGAGAGAGCAATGGGAGGTAAAGAAAAATAAAGATTATGAGAGAGATGGAAAGCGCATCATGAGAGAAAAGGAAGGAGAGAGAAACTGTGTCCCATCTGCCCGCCATCACCACCACAGCAATGTTGAAAAGCTTTGCCAGACTCGGGAATGGCAGGATTATTGCTGGGGAGTATGGGGTTAACATATGGTTGCTGTTGGAATGCCACTGTCCATCTCTGCTTTAGCTTGGGCAGCCTGTCTATTCCCCTAAGCTACACAAAGCCCCAGAAAGCCACAAAACAAGAGACTTTGAGCATTCAAAAAAGAAGGAGCGGAGGACAGCAGGAGAAAACTGGTTTCTGAAGAGGTAGATCTCTAAAAGGGTCTGAGTGCTCTGAGCTCACCCAACTACCTTAGGACACTGCAGAGAGCAGGAGGGAGGCAGGCAGAGAGAGGGAGAGAGAGACAGAAAGTGTGAGAGAGAGCGGGAGTGAGAGAGTGAGAAAGAGAGAGAGAAAGAGAGAGCGAGCGAGCGAGAGGGATCCAAGTCGGCGATCGCTCTCCCTTTTGCTGCTACAACGGATCCTTTCCACATCGACGCTACTGTTAACGTCACGCCTGTAAGCCACGCGCTCACCCAGCGCTCGCCTTCCCTGTCTTGCTCCTCTCCCTAGCCGGACGCTGCAATAGCGAGGGGGACGCCGATCACCACGAGGAGAGGAGAAAAAGAAAAAAAAAGAACTGGAAAACAAGAAGATAAAAGAAACAAGCCGGAGAGAGGAAGGAGAAACTGCGCACCACCCCTCCTCCCTCCAACCCACCTCGATCAACCCAGCTACAACACCCCCACTCCTCGCAGCACCCCCTTCCATCCCCCATCCCACTCCCCCTCTGAAGAAATTGACGGATTATTGGGAAGTGCAAGGGAGGCAGGCTGCAGCTGCTGCTGTGTGTGCTCACTACTGCTGCTGTGTGCTTCACAGGGATGGTGTGTGTGCGTTTGCAATTGCTGCTGTCGCCACCGTGGCTGCTGAGGCTGGAGCGTGTGGCTAGTTAAGACGAGGAAAGGCTAATGAAGGCTGTGCGTGTCGCCTAGTCTTTTCAACCCCTGCCGAGCACTCCTGGAGGAAGAGAAAAAGAAAGAAAAATCAAGTGGACACGACGCCACATTGAACGGGGAAGAGAACGAGAAGGGCAGTCAGACTGACCAACCGACCAACTGATTGACCACTAAAAAGTGAACAGAGGAATACAGAGAGGAGGGGGGTCTGTTTTTTCCCCCGGCTTGTCAACCTTCCCTCCTAACAATCGCAAACAAAAGGCAAAGAACATTTAAAAAAGGACTGTGGAATTTCATTCAACCTTCCTCAATCCCACCCCCACCCACCGCCTTGTTGGTCCTTTTCTGCCTTGGCTTTCGGTGCACAAAAAACTGTGCGTGTTTGTGTGGTCGCCTGTGCTATGGAGACCTGGGTAAGGTGTCTATCAGGGGGATCAACTGTCGGATTCCAAGGACAAGCAAGAGAAGAGGAGCCGACCGCGAGAAGCGAGCAGGGGAGCATTGCTGCTTTGGGAGCCTGACTGGATTCCTATCTGCAATCTTTTCCTTTTTTTTATAATCAATAAGGGAGAAAAAAACATTTTAAAAAGGGCCTTTGAACCTTTCTCTTTGGATGTTTGGATTTACAAAAAGGCTCATCTTGGTTAAGCTCTTTGGCATTGTCTCCTGTTTTGACTGCAAATATAAAAAGGCTTTCTCTGCTGCCTTTTGGGATATACACACATCTGATGTGAATACCACAGCTCTTTCTGATTGCAAACAGGAGGGAAGCTATATAACTCAGTTCAAGGACCTGTAATAATTACTTGAGGTAGGTGTCTAGTGTTTCAACCCCTCTTTCCATCAATTTGTAACCCTCCCTTCTTTCTTGTAATACAGCTTTTCGTCGCTTAATTAATCATAATGTCCTTCACATACACACGTTTCAGAAAAATAGACCTCTTTTCCCTTCTTTATCTTTCTGCGCCTGAGCACAGTTAATGGGAGTAAAAACATTGCTTGATTGAGGAAAGGTCAAGCCCTCTTGCCCCTTAGCAAAGCACCCAAAAGCCACATTCCATCCTTGCCCTCTTTAGTCCCCTTGACACTACTACTAGCCAGCCAACTATTTTCCCTGATCGCCAAAGCCCCCCAAACACCACCCCCAAACACCCCCATCCTCCCCCCCAGATGATGCTGAATTATGAACGTGCCACATCATGAGTCTCCTGGGGCGGGTAGCTGTGCATCGTGCCAGGAAAGCCGCCCTGCTCTGTGTAGTCTTCCTGATGGCGCGAGCGTGGAGCAGCGCCTCCCTGGCCTTGGCGGGGGCGGTGGTGTCTCAGGGACCTCAGGGCTGTCCGCCGCAGTGTTCTTGCAGTAATCAGCAGGGGAAGGTGGTGTGCACCCGACGTGGCCTCACCCGTGTGCCCCCCGGCATTCCTGCCAACACGCGACACCTCAATCTAATGGAAAACGCCATTGAGGCGGTGCAGGCTGACTCTTTCCGCCACCTGCACCACCTTGAGGTGCTCCAGCTTGGGCGAAATGCCATACGGCAGATTGAGGTGGGCGCGTTTAATGGACTAACCAGTCTCAACACACTTGAACTGTTTGACAACCGGTTGACAGTGGTGCCCAGTGGGGCCTTTGAGTATCTGTCTAAATTAAGAGAACTGTGGCTGAGGAACAACCCTATTGAAAGCATTCCCTCCTACGCCTTCAACCGGGTGCCCTCCCTCATGCGATTGGACCTGGGAGAATTACGGAAACTGGAGTATATCTCAGAAGGAGCTTTTGAGGGCCTACAAAATCTAAAGTACCTCAACCTGGGCATGTGCAACATAAGGGGTGATATGCCAAACCTGAGTCCTCTCAAGGGCCTTGAGGAGCTGGAGATATCTGAAAATCACTTTCCAGAGATAAAGCCAGGCTGCTTCAAAGGCCTGCGCTCACTGAAGAAGCTATGGGTGATGAACTCTCAAATCACAGTGATAGAGCGCAATGGATTTGACGACTTATCTTCATTGGTGGAGCTTAATCTTGCCCATAATAACCTGAGCGCTGTGCCACATGATCTATTCTCCCCGCTCAGGTACCTGGTGGAGCTGCATCTCCACCATAACCCTTGGAACTGCGGCTGCGAGGCTGTTTGGTTAGCACGCTGGCTAAGGGAGAGCATCCCTACTAACTCAACTTGCTGTGGACGTTGTCACTCACCTGCCAGCATGAAAGGTCGACAGCTGGTTGAGGTGGACCGAGGTGAGGGCGCTGCAACCCAGTGTTCTGCACCATTCATTGCTGATGCACCAAGGGACTTGAACATTTCTGCAGGGCGAGTGGCTGAGGTTCGTTGCCGAACAGCCCCGATGTCTTCGGTGCGCTGGCTCCTACCCAATGGAACTATCCTGACACATGCCTCTAATCACCCAAGAATATCAGTCCTCAATGATGGCACCCTTAATTTCTCAAATGTCCTCGCAGTTGACACGGGCACTTATACCTGCATGGTGTCAAATGCAGCTGGGAACTCTAACGCCTCTGCATACCTCAATGTGAGTGCAGCTGAGCTCAATACATCCAACTTGAGTTACTTCACCACAGTGACTGTGGAGGTCTTGGAGCCAACCACTGAAATGCCCAAATCTAAAACAACCACAACTGCTGCAGCAGGAGCTGGGGTAGCTGGAGGAGGAGGGGTTGGCCATGGGACAACAACTACAACTGCCTCTCCTTCAGTCTTTCAGCCAGTCTTTATCTCCACACCAACTGTGCTGCTGCAGAGTACTGACAGCCCACCAGGTGCAGCTAAGACATCTGTGGCACCAGGACTACAAGGTGCCAGTGGCAAGACAGGCAAATCTGGCCCTAGTCTGGATGAAGTGATGAGGACCACTAAGATTATAATAGGTTGCTTTGTTGCGGTGACACTGCTGGCTGCTGTCATGCTCATCGCCTTCTACAAACTGAGAAAGCGCCACCAGCAGAGGAGCACAGTGGCAGCTGCCAGAACTGTGGAGATTATCCAGGTGGATGAGGAAGACCTTCCTCCGCCAGCATCTGCATCTCAAGAGACAGCTCTCACATTGCCTGAAATCCGGGACCATAACAGCATACACAAACTGGACTTTATTAGCCACAAGACTGACTACAGCTTTCACAAACCCAAGGCCGAATACAAACCCCAGCCTGATTTCACCCTTCACAAGCCGAAAGCGGAGTACACTACATACAAGCCAAATATGGACTTCAGTAGCCACAAATTCATCCCAGATTACAGCACTCACAAATCAACACCAGATTTTAGCCTTCATAGACCAAAGCCTGACTACAGCCAATATAGACAGGACTACAGCACTCACAAGCCTAAAACAGACTACAGCCCAATCAAACCAGATTATGGCACTCATCCCAGACAGAGAACTGACCTCAGCCCATTCAAACGAGATTACAGCACCCAACCAAAACCTAAACATGACTACAGCCCATTAAAATCGGACTACAACCCACAACATAAACCTAAGGCGGAGTACAGTCAATTCAAGCCAGACTTTGGCACTCATCCAAGACCTAAACCTGAATATAACCCATATACACCTGACTATAGCACTCAACCCAAACCCAAAACAGACTACAGTGCCCAGAGATCTAAAACTGACAATACCTTCAAACCTAAGGATCCTTACTCCTCCCATAAGACTGGAACTGATTACAGCGCCTTCAAGACTGACTTCAGCCCCCACAAAGCGGATTACAGCGCCTTTAGTCCACACACTCAGAGACCTAAACTTGACTATAGTCCACACAAGATGGACTACAGCCCCCATAAAGTGGACTACAGCACTCAAAAGCCCAAATATAACACCTACAAACCAACGGGCCATGGGGCTAAATGGACAGACAACAATGTTGGGAACTCTTTGCCTCGAACCATGCCCAGCACCATCACAGCAATGGCTGAGCCCTTTGCCATAAAAACTCACACCAAGGAGAAGGTGCAGGAGACTCAGATTTAAAAACGGTCCCCCAAAAGGCTCCCACTCCTTTCCCTAGGTGTCTATCTCCCACCCATCCCTATCACCCCTTTGTCATTTTATTCATAAAATCATGCAATAGAATGCACAACGAAAAAAGGACAGGAACTACTTTTTTGTACAGAGTGCAAACTTAAAAAGACTGATGATTTCTTGTTGTACATGCTTATAAATAAATATATATATGGACAAATTGAAACTACCATGGGCTGGTGATAGAGAAACATATATTAAAAAGAAATTGAAACTATTTTCTAACTTGTAACTTCTATTTAAAACAATGAGTTGTTTAAGATGCTGTCTTGACTTTGACAAATGAGGGTAGTGTTGTTTTAAAAAGGGGGCATTCTGTGTGATTTTTACACCATGCTACAGAGAATGCAGTGATAAGAAAAAAAATATTTATACCGAGAAGACTTTCTTTAACAAAAACCGAGAAAAGGTCAGTGACGATCTTTACAGGTTTATCTTGTAAAAGCACCAAGAATTTGTACTGTGCCAAATGTTATAAATGCAATAAAAAGGATTTTTGGAAGAAAAAAAGGAAGTATAGAGAGAAATGTTTTTTTTCCCCTTCACTTCTTCTACTGGTGTATACTGTAACGATCAGCCAAATGCTTTAGACACTGCAGTAAGATGCTGCAGCTATACTTTAACCCTACAAGTGCTGAATGACTCAGGCAGAATGAATCACGGTGCAGAAGTGGACGGTGTTTTTTTGTTTCTCTTTTAATCTCTCAACAGCTTCTATTTTTATATTCTCTATATGTAATAGTAGGATTTGTTCAGGGTTTTTTACACCACCAGTGAGTGTCATGGTGCTTCATCAAGGTGTGGCTGATCAAAAGTGTGTATTTAAGTTCTTCAAATGCTAAAATGTGTTTTAGGATAAAGAAATGGTGTCAAGAGACAAGTAAAGCAGTGCTACCATAACATCTAATGTTAGTTGAAATGCCTATTCAATAATGTCTTCAACAATGGAAAAAGACCATGTCCTTTTCTACATTACAAATTGGTATTATTAATCATGTATCTAACGAGTGAAAAAGGTGATCAATTAAGGTGGAGTACTGTTTGGGTGTTAAGTCTGTTGCACTTTGCCAAATATATAGATCTTCATTTCACTTTGCATTGCATTGCCAGCTGTTGTGCCTTCATTAATCACCATGGGGCTTTTTATGGTGACAAATGCGTTTTGGTCTCGCTGTTAACTGTGCATTTTTCATCTTCAACAATATCACCCCTCTCAATCATAATATAGCCCCACGGCTCTCTGCCTAACAAAGAAAGATAACAAACAACATATTAAATATAGTATATAATGAAAAAGTGATTAGCATGCATGTAACACACAGGTGAGAACATTTTTTGGAAACCGTGGTGTGTGGGATTGAAGCAATGCTGTTGCCATATTATTTACTTTAACTCTTCTAGAAAGAACTGGGTACAGTGTTTAAAGAAAGAGAAAAGTGGTGTGTATTACCCTGGGAGCAGATATTAGTTATATGAATAGAATAACATGTTTCCAGTGGGAAACATGTAGGCGAGAGCTGATCGAGTGGGTGCGAGATTAACCCTTTAAGGCTGTACAATTCTAATGAGAACTCAGATCATTAAGAAACACAATAACTAGCCTCTGGAGATGTGTGACATTATCAGGTCCAGTCACAGGCCTGTGCTTGCAGGCAACGCCGTGGCCTAGAAGTTTAGTTGACGACACCAGTTTGCATTACCAATAATAAGTGTGGAAAATGGAGACCTGGTTAAGGAGAGTACCTGCGATAGCCACAATAACCATATCAAGGTTTGCCTCTCCACTGTAGAGTTTCAACACTTGAAATAGAGGAACTAAAAAAGGGAGAATGTTGGAATAAAAAGGAGGGAGAGAGAGAGAGGGAGCGAGAGGTTGACATGGCGCATTAGGAAAACAGTGCAGCAGTTAGGTGAGAGCTTGTGGTGTGCTTAACCTGTAGGAGAGACTGTCAAAAGAGGAGAGTGATGTGTGTGTCTGGGTGACAATGTGTGCACTGAGAAATTAGGAAGTGACAAAAGGAGGGAGGGTGTAAGATAGATGGAAAACGAGACGAAGGTTAAAGAGGACAACTGAAGAGTGAAAGCCTATTGTGCAAGGGTTTGGTTTCTTTACATCAAGTCATTTTAGAGGATATATTGTGCTTGGAAACACATGTGATGTGAGAGCATTGTCGTAGGTGTGTAGTAATAAGCTCCACTAACATTGTGCTATATTACGAGGATGATGTGCACAATTCTAACTTTTCTAGTAATCCCTAAACTGCAATACAATAAATGTATCTCCAGATGTAGGTGTGGTACAAAGTGGTCACGACTGCTTCATTATGATTTTCTCAAAACAATGTTACTATTCTCTACATACCGTTTATAATTTGGTAAAAAGACTGTGCTGCAGTGTACAAAGAGCCGTCACAACTGGTCACTTAGGCAAAAATCAGATATGATCAAATCAACTACAGCTCTCGCTCCCTTCCTGCATGTATGCTGATGACTCAGCCTGCATTTTAAATACTGAGCATTTTCGGCAGGTACAATAATAAACTAGATGGATCAGACATGCGAGTCTGTCTGCATTTGTCCATGTACGTGTGTTTCTTGTACCAGAGGTGTTTTCTGAGTGTTTGGATACATAGGAGACAAACGAGGAGCATAGAAAGAAAAAGCTCAACTGTGCAGGAGAGGGGAATGAAGGGGGAGAAAGGACAAGAGAGAGAGAGAGGAGAGAGAGGAGAGAGAGAGAGAGAGAGAGAGAGAGAGAGAGAGAGAGAGAGAGAGCAGGACGATTCATCTAAAATGTACATGTACACCATGGCTATTTCAAGATGCAGAATGATAAGCTTTTCAAAAAAGGCAAAGGACCAAATAAAACACATGCAAATATAGCCATTTTAGACATTACTGACTCATATCCCAGACAGCATGTCTCCCACTCCCGTCATTTACTTGTCTCTAACGTGAAACATGTACGAGGAATGTTCACACTAGTGAAAACAAGTACACATCAGTGTGTTCTAAATGGGTTAGATGGATTGTGAGCAGTTTTATGAACAGATGCAAGCAGTGTATTAAGCATGAAGCTGTGTTTTGGCATTCGATCGTAAGATTGGCCATACTATATTGCATGCAGTATGGTACAGCAGGAGCAGGCTTATGCTTCACCATATATATCATACCGAAGTATGTTGCAATGTGGTCACATATAAAGCTGTGCTGGGCTATAAAAGGGTCCGTCATACTAATCAGTCAACATGGCTACAGGGTCATAAATCAGCGAATCAGCTACGCAGCCACTGAAGGGCCCGTCTCCATGGGAAACACTCCTTCCCTCTATCCCTTCCTCCTCCACGTCATTTTCTTTTTTTTTTTTTCTGTGTGCTTCATTAGCAATCATGAAGCCATTTGAAAGAGGAAGCAAGGCAAGATGCACCTATTTACCCACAGCTCAAAGAGCAAGGAGAACGGAGGGAGGGGGGGGGGGGGGGGGGGGGGGGGGGGGGGGGAGTAAAGGTTCGGAGATTTGAGTAAAAGTAGGAAGAAGATAAAATGGCATAGAAACTGAGCTGTAGGAAAAAATGTAAAGTGGGAAGGAAAGAGATTGCTAGACAGAACTTATAAGAGGGCAAGCAAAAGTAGGACATTTAACTAAAACAGAAGGAACCGGGCCGAAGAGCCGATGGCATGGGGAAAAAACAAGATCAAAACGGAGAAATATAAGAGGGTTAGATAAGGTGGTACATAGAATTGTTTCTGGTCGGCTAAAATAAATGACCCAAGAAGTTTATGGATTTAAGAGAGAATCAAGCCACGATGAGATGACGGGAGGTAGAAGAACGAAGCAAAAACAGATAAGAAACAAAGAAGCAGAAGTAACATTTTATATCATTAGATGGAAATAAGAGAAGAAGAGGTAGAGCTACCAACGGAGGGGAAAGCAAAGCAACAAGAGTGAGAGGTAGAGAGCGCAAAGGCACTCCGGAGAGGAGTAGGCAGAGCAAATGTGATGCAAGAGTGCCAGCTACAGATGGAATGGGGGATATATAGCGCGGACATCATGGTGAATGGCCTGGACTGCACCACAAGGGGAGTGGTGGGGGTGGAGGGAGATAGCGTGTGATGTTACTATAGCACAGTGCAGCAGATCAGAAGTGCTGATACCAGTAATGGACTTGACCGCTGGGGGTACTTGAGGAAAAGAGGCCGGTGAATATGACGGCAGGGAGGATGGGAGGATCAAGGGGTCAGCGCAAATGGAACTGAGGACGATGAGTGCCAGAGTGCAACCATGTGCATGCGTACGTGTTGTCAGAGGGATAAAGAGTCAAAGCCCCAAAAAAAGTAAACTACATCATTTCACTTTCATTTAATTTAAGGGAAAGAGCTTATTCTCAACCCAAAACGGTTTGTATGAAAGTTTGGAACCCAATTATTTTGATGCAATCTCTTAATTAGATTTTTTTTGTTCTCATTGTAAATTACTATGCAGTGAGGCGCAGAAGATGGCTGTAAAATAAAGTTATTCCATTAAAATGACCAAGACCAATAGGCATTACAATCTCGATTGCATCAGCCATTTATCAACTAAAGCCTCTCAATCAGTCATGTCACTGGAGCAACAAGAATGTTCACTTTTGAAAAATATTCTGTCAAACGGGCACATTGCTCTATCAGTGTGTGCTGAAATGTATATTAAGATGATGGAATTTATAATGATTCATTTTCAAACAATCAATCTGTGTTAACATTTGATCAATGTTAAATTATTAATAGATTAGAGAAATATTTTTCTGGGACCTCGGTTCCGCTCATGCAATGGTTGATTGGTGGGATTGCCATACATTTAGGATGACTACTACATTTTGGCACGAGGGCTGGTCTACATACAATAAGGACAACAAGTGTTGCCTTATTCTGCTTTATACATGCTTTCATTTGTGTGGTTCCCATTTCATTGATAGGAAGTAGTGTTTTTCTAATTGAGTTTATGGATTTATGTTGGGTTCTTTTTCCAGAAACGATGCCTAATTATAATGTTTAATGTTGAAACTTAAGTTGTACTGTTGTTGCATATTTTGTTGATTCCTTACACACATGTCTGCATCCCCAGGAGTGTGTGCTACACAGTGTGTGTGCAGGGATTATTGTGTGAGCACTAGCTAGTGTGCTAGTGGAGCAGACAGGAGGCTATTCTGAGCAAGCCTGCGAGCGTGCTGCCTTGTGAGTCAACATGAGTCGTCCCAACGTCAGATAGGAGGGACTGGAAGGGACGCAGAGTCAAAAGGTGGAGACGGCACGTCATCTACGCGGAGAGCAAGGTCGTGCTCATTGTGGCAAAAGGGATCTTGAGCGGATGTAACTTTAATATGTGTCACATTGTCATTCATTTCTATACTGAGGATACATTTTAAATACAGTGTGCTATATATACACATTTTTCGTTGGAATCTAATGAATTGTAAGGCACAGGGTAAAGGTGTGAGGATATTTTTCTGACCATGTGTAACCGATGTAAA